GCTGGGTAAATGCAGCCATCTTCTGACCAAATGGCGGAACATTTATCACCAACTTTCCACTGCTTCAGTGGAGTCATGACGGTCTTTTTCTGGCTCTTTTTCTTCTTAGTAGGCTTTCTTTTAGGTGTGAGTTTTGGTTTGTCAGTAGCTTCACAAATTTCTCCATTCTTTAGAGCATTCTTAAAGGAAGCTACAGCTTTATCATAGGCCTTGATCAGTGCCGTATCATCCCAGATGTCAGCGTCGTAGCTCTGGCCTGTTCCACGCCGGAACAGCACGGCGTCTTCCCGCTCCGGGACGCCGCCGCCGCCACCCATTGCCATGGCGAGTCCCTCTTCCCACTATTATGGCCTTAGTTTTGCTTCACTAATCTTGCTAGACCTGCATATGCACACTTGTACAATCAAGATCTTTTGATAGACAAAATCCAAGATAGATAAACCCCTTAGAAATTGTAATAGGAGTAATAATTCCTTGAGGGCATGGGAAGAAATAGGGGGGGGGGAATGATAGCAATGATAAATGTATAACCCCTTTTGAGGGGAAGAAACAACAGAATTGCGGTGAATGGATACATTGGATGCTGTAAAATATGGAAAATATATAATATATAATATATTAAGGGTTCATGGGTGTGGTAGGGTGCAAGGAGGGAGGGGATAAAGGGGAACTAATATCAAAGAGTTCAAGCAGAAAGAAAACATATTGAAAATGATGACAGCAATTTTACAATTATGCTTGATCTAATGGAACTATGGATTATAATAGCTATAAGAGCTCCTAACAAAATGTTCCATTTTTTTTCTTAAAAAGAGTTAGTCTTAGAAACCCCTAGGGGCAATTCCATCTTGTACTCTAGGGTTGTGCTGAGTCAGAGTTCCTCAATGACAGGGAGTGGAGTCAGCCTAAGAAGGAATACCGGTAGTGCAGTGGGTTAAGCATTGCACTGCTGATCACAAGGTTCAGCCCCACCAGCCATTCTGCAGGAGAAAGACAAGACTGCCTGTTGATATCCTCTGGAGCCATTCCAGTCTGTCCTTTGACGCCTCGACGTGAGGATTGACTTGGGGAGTGGGAGTTGGGGGTTTTATGAGTTTCCTGATTGGTGTAAAACCCTTTTTTGCAAAATCATTTTATTGGGAGCTCATATAACTCTTATTACAACCCATACATACAGCCATTGTGTCAAGCACATTTGTACATTTGTTGCCATCATCTTTCTCAAAACATTTGCTTTCTACTTGAGCCCATGGTATCAGCTTATTCTCCCCTCCCTCCCCACACCCCTCCCTCATGAACCCTTGATAATTTATAAATTATTATTTTATTACACTGACATCTCCCTTCATGCACTTTTCTGTTGTCTGTCCCCCAGGGAGGTGTCATATGTAGATCCTTGTCATCTGTTCCCCCTTTCTACCCCACCTTCCCTCCACCCTCCCGGAATCGCCACTCTCACCACTGGTCCTGAGGGGTTCATCTGTCCTGGATTCCCTGTGTTTCTAGTTTTTATCTGTACCAGTGTACATCCTCTGGTGTAGCCAGATTTGTAAGATAGAATTGGGATCATGATAGTGGGGGGGTGGGCGGGAAGGAAGCATTTAGGAACTAGAGGAAAGTTGTATGTTTCATCGTTGCTAAGCTACCCCCTGACTGACTCATCTCCTCCCCACGAACCTTCTGTAAGAGATGTCCAGTTTCCTAGAGATGGGCTTTGGGTACCCACTCCGCACTCCCCCTCATTCACAATGGTATGATTTTTTGTTCTTTGACGCCTGATACCTGATCCCATCGACACCTCGTGATCACACAGGATGGTGTACTTCTTCCATGTGGGCTTTGTTGCTTCTCAGCTAGACGGCTGCTTGTTTATCTTCAAGCCTTTAAGACCCCAGATGCTATATCTTTTGAAGCTGGGAACCATCAACTTTCTTCACCACATTTGCTTATTCACCTGCTTTGTCTTCAGTGATCATCTTAGGAAACTGAAAATAATGCAATGCTACTTTAATAGAAGAAAGTGTTCTTGCATTGAGGAAATCGAGCTACCATATGACTCAACAATCCCTCTTTTGGGCATATACCCAGAAGAGGCAAGAAACATACCACGGCCAGACATCTGTGCTCCAATATTCATCACAGCCCAGTTCACAATTGCAAGGAGTTGGAAACAACTCAAACTTCCATCTACAGATGAATGGGATTAAAAAATTGTGGTACATACATACAATAGAGTACTATGCATTCATAAAAAGCAGTGATGAATGCATGAAGCACATTGCCACGTGGGAAGAACTGGAGGAAATCATGCTAAGCGAAGTAAGCCAAGCACAAAAGGACAAGTACAACATGAGTCCACTGATGTAAGCTTTAAAAATATGCAAAAGGGGAATAGAAGAAGAAGAAAAAAGCTACTGTATACAAACATTCCTCTGGTGAGGTCCAGGTAATATGGCAAGGGCCAGACCAAATCCAGGGATACATATAGTAGCCTACTAAAAAGGGGTGGGGGATAAAAAGAAGACATGCATATCAGGGAACAAGGCACTAACCCACCTAAGAGGAGGGTATTATTTATATCTCCACAGGGAAAGAGGGACCAGACTTCAACCTGGTACTCCAAGATGTGAATGCAATATACTGGCATGAAGCAGGGAATCAATAGAGAGGTCTGAGGCGTCTGGCCCAATCCCAATTACATGGACAGCCCCACTCCCCCAAGAAGAATTTACTTCAGAGGACAACACTGAAGCTACAGCTCAGTCCCTCAGGGAGAGGGACATGTCTAATCAGAGCACATGGGAGCAAATGAAGGGGGAGGAAGTGAGAGTGGAGCACATTCTGGCCCACCATGCCTTGAGGACGATATTCCTGCTCAGAGCAGCCAATGCACTGAGAGGACCATATGGCTGGCCCCACTATGAGAAACAGCATCCCTCACTAACCCATAGCCCTATGTAGGACAACACTGGAGGCACAATGTGGGAATTGCGCCTGATCTGACCCCAATATACTGAGGCAAAACACTAAGGGCATACAACAGAACAGCAAGAGGAACAGAGTAAGGAAGCCCCCAAGGAATACCAAAAATAGATTTGGGGGCCAGGGCATGGAACCCCATCAGATTCTACCGGAAAACACTCCTAACGATCAACAACAGACCTTTAACTATTTACAGGCTTTATTTTTTATTTTTTCATTAGTTTGTTGTTGTTTTCTTTTCTTTTGTTGCTTTGTTTTGCTCTGTCTTGTTTTTTGTGCATATTATTATCTCTGCAGGTCTATCTAGATAAGACATGTGAGATAAACAATCTGGAGGAGAAAATGATGGGACCAATGGTTCCGGGGACCAGGGAGAGGAGGAGGTGGGGGGAAAGAAGTGGGTGAGACGGGGAGGCGGGGGAAAGAAAGTGGGTGTTAACAGACCCAGGGACAAGGGAACAGAAAGTAACCCGAAATTGAATGTGAGGAAGTTGTAGGAGGCCCGGTAGGGCTTGATCAAGGGCAATGTAACCAAAGAGGAATTAATGAAACCCAAATGAAGGCTGCGCATGATAGTGGGACAAGAAGAAAGTGAAAGGAAATAGAGGAAAGAGCTAGGAGGCAAAGCACATTTATAGAAGTCTAAATACAGGCATGTACATAGGTAAATGTATTTCTATATGATGATGGGGAAATAGATCTATGTGCATATATTTATAGGTTTAGTATTAAGCAGATGAACATTGAGCCTCCACTCAAGTACTCCCTCAATGATTAGTGTAAAATCTTATCTTACCCAGTTTGTGTTTTGAATATCTATTAATTCAGAAGACTCAGGGCTGGGGGTTGAGTATGTCTTTGGGCTTCTATAAGTAATTGGTCCCACATGTTTACATTCCTGGGGTGTTTTTGTCCAGTTTGTTTCATTTCCTGGCCCCCCAAACTGAGTGTGGCTCATAGCAATTACTCTTCCAGTGAAAAACCTCAAGGAGAGAGGCGTTCCGTGTGTCATGGGACGACCCGTACCAAAGGCTACTGAGCCAGAAGGCATTTGAATACAAGAAGATTTGATAGGTAGAGAGAATCCAAGTGACTGAGAACCCATTTTTCATTTCTGTTGGCTGGAAAACAATTTTCGCCAGATACCAGACTCCGAGGTGTAGGCTGAGGGAGAAAAATCGCTCCCAGTAAAATGTGGTCGAGAAGGCTGAGAGACATGACCTATGTCAAATCAACACTCCATTAGGTAAGAGAAGCTCACCCCAGTTAATTATTCATGTTAGGCAGCTCCTTGGGAGACACAAATCATGTTGGCTGAGCCAGCTGACCCCATCTTCACAGAGGGCCAGTGGAAAAAACTTCTTGGTCTTCAAAGAACCTGGGATGATTTTTGAGTTATAGTCATGACCAGGCTGGTTTGCAGAAGTGATTGGAATTCCCCTGGAAGATTGGCTGTAAATTCCTTCTCTGTGTTCCTCTGGCCCTCAGCATTTGACTCACCTTCACACAGTGATAAAGAGCAAGGAGTCCAAACCCAGGGCGGATTATCACTAAGTCTGAAGAGACCACCATAAACCGGTGGTTTGTGTCTTCCACAAGTGACTATTGAAACCACCTTATTCGATGAACTTGCTTAGCTGATGTCATTGAAGGGTTGGTGACTCTTAGTGACCCTATGCAACAAGGCAGAACTGCCCCTGTGAGTTCCAAAACTGTTTACTGGAGTAGAAAGGAGCCCTGATATTATCGTGATGATGCATTGGGCTGCTAACTACAAGGTCAGCCGTTCAAAACTACCAGCCATTCTGAGGGAAAAGGACAGGGCATCCTGTTCCCGTAAAGAGTTCCAGTCTCACAGGGGCAGTTCTACCCTGTCCTATAGGGTCACTGAGTCGGCATCAACTCAATGGCTGTGAGTTTTTTGGGTTCTTATTTAATGAAAATGTGAGAGGGCCAGAATGAAGTCAGGGTAGAGGAGCCCTCTGATGTCCCTGTCATCTTTCTGGAGGGAACCCAAGTGCTTGCTATGGGAATGTTGTATCCAGGTTGTGTTTAATCACCTCTCTGTTCTTGCTTTTACAGAGTTATTTAAAATGTGACCATATCTGTGAGTCCAATAGGTAACATAAAAGCCTCAAGGCAGATGTCCCAAATTTACTCTGCATTGTTTGAGTACCAGAGTCACCCTGGCTTCCCAGTTGACTGTGATCCAGAAATCATGGAATTTGTGGATGCAAAAATCATCAGTAGATAGGTTTTTATTTTGTAAATGTCACATATCTATATCATATGTACATTGTTATATGTATATTGTGTATACACCATGGTATTTTCAATTGCC